AAAAACCATATTAACTCATGGACCAAATCAACCCCTCTCAGTTTCCCACCCCTAGCCGAACACAACACACCAAAAACCAACACTCATTCACTCCCAAACATTCCACAAACCATGGCCCCATCTTTGTCCCCTAACCACCTAATTAAACAACATAATAAAACGAAGGACCATTGACCACTTAACCACCCTATATTCTCCCATAATAACCACCCTATATACACCTTAATATCCCCCCTGACCGAAAATAATCTCCCCAAATGATCAGCCACAACACACCAAATAACCCAACCATTCTCACTACCCATTGTTCCCCAACCTGGCCAAATGAAGTCCCTCCCCAACCACTAAATATTCACATCAATATAGAGCCAAATCAACTCCCAAATCAGTCACCCTTTGCCCCCTAATATGGCCGAACCAGCCCAGCCTAGAAACACAGCCCACATCCCTTAATATTTCCTCATCAAAAACCACAAACTAATGTCACCCAACACCCCCACAAAATCCCTGATTCATCCCCCATGAAAGGACTCCATATTTGATTATTATTGTCAAAGATTTGTTAAGGAAAGAACTTGGTAGTTTCCCCTTTCTTGCTTGCTTATTTATAACGGCCATTGGCCATTGTTGTAACTCACTTTTGAATCTGAAATTTCCATCAGTAATACACTTATGTGTTTGCTATTTTAAACCCCTAATTCTATATCTTAAGGGTGGTTACCTTAAGTGTGAGTTTTAGGTTCTAGTTATTTAAATAAGTGTGTTATATCTTATTTGAATACTAGATTCAACCCCAAGTTAGGAGAAAAGTGTGTAATATCTCTTAACACCAACTTGGTTTATCCAACACTTATTTCTAGCCATTTCTAATCCCACCATTTCTCTCCTGATCCTCCTTTCTTCTCATATTAAAAACCATTAAAAAGAACTCTTTCACACTCCATTCATTTCGCCTCTTGCTTGCCTTTAACATATTATCACATTTCCTCTCCGAAAAACCACAACTCTGTTAAGACCCCTAGTTCGAGATATATCAATAATCATCCCAGCTGGTTTGGTCGGTGGCATTATATTGCGAATTAATCAATAATTTGTAATTCCTATAATTTGTAAACCAAAATACTGTTTTACAAATGCCAAGTTAATACTTTAAAAAATTATACACCTCTTGGTTGTTGAAACCCAAGAAGAATATGGACATCTCATGGTATTGAACCATTGTTTCCCAAGACAATTTTCATGTTGCTAAGCAGCTTTTTCACTTGTGAGCATGAACAAATTGTTAATGTCCAGAATTTGCTCATAATGTGTTAACATTTCTATCATTTTCATTCATTTTGAATTAGAATTCCATTCTTGGGTGAATTTACTTGCCAGAATGCAGTAATGGCAGAGCGCTTCATCGAAGCAGGTAGCCCGTATGTATCAACACTAATATCTTTAAACATTTAAAAAAAATCTTTGTTGAGACTATCCATAGATCATTGTGTTCAACCTAAAATAAAACAATCCTTTATCGTGGATGACTCGTAATGCAGAGGCGGATTCTTGATTCTTACTAGTAATACATACTATATGTGTTCCCATTGCACTAAATAACTTAATTTGATGGCAGTTATGTCCTAAAACTGGAGAAGGCTGATGTGTACAGGTTACCGTATTTGTCGAGCAGTGGTCCTGGTTTTGGTAACTGTCATTCTTACTGTTACTTTTCCATTAATTTGGTTTTGCACATTTAACCTTAGCTTGTCTAGCAGTGACTAGTGGAGTTGTATTCAACTAAGTAATTTCATTTGAGTTGATTAAATCATAGAACGTGAAGATATTTTATGTACATCTATATTCAAATTGCGGACGAGGCATTTTTTTTGTGCAATGACAATAATGTTGTGAGCTTCAGCTCTACTTGATGCGGTAAAGAGAGCTAATTTCAAGGACATCCAAAGCCAGATATCATCTGGTTTTGCCTTTGGGAGGTACTGTTCATATTCTTGTTATCTTGCCTATAAAATTTGCGAGTTACAGAGTATTTAAAGTGATGGGTATTCTCTAGTTATTCGTCTAACTTATGTTTCTATTAATAATATGGGGGGCATTCCCATGACATTAGCCCCCCTTGTCATCATATTACATGGGCCTCGTTTGGGGTCCCTATGGTGCTCTATTTGAGAAACTGATGGTTCAACCCCACCGGTAAGCCTTCCCACCCCGGCTTGACCCGAACCCCTCCCCACCCGAGTCAATTGCACCCTACAAGATTTAGTTGACTTTGGTGTTAAACTCTGTTAAAAAAATTGATGGTTCTTGCCCTCCCCCTAACCCTGCCGGTAAACCTCTCCACCCCGTCCCGACCCGAACCCACCTCCCACTCCCGTCAAAAGATCCCGGGATAAAAAAACATTAAAAAAAAGTTAGAATAATTGTGGGACATCGTAATATATACTAGTGTTAAATCTGCTTCGGAATTCCGGTTTGTTTCAGTTGGGATAAACCAACTCTAGTGACTTGGGGAATATCAGATAAGTATCTTCCACAATCAGTGGCTGAAGAGTTTCAAAGGGGAAATCCCGAATTTGTCAAGCTTAAACTGATTGAAGGTGCAGGCCATATGCCGCAAGAAGACTGGTAATTAAATAGTGCAGTTTTCGATTCATGTATTTGTTGTCAACTGTAACAGCCATTATTTCTGTAAACACAGGCCCGAAAAAGTTGTCGATGCCTTGAGATCATTTCTCTAAGCGATGGCTTCCCGGCATATGATGAAATGGTATGAACTTCATGTGTTTGTCCAACTATGAGTCATGATGTGTGAGACCTCACTTGTGTTGTTGGATCATTTTGGGTGACACATATATATGATCAAATGTGGTTGTCGGAACTGGTATTACATTTATTGTATGGATCATTTTGGGTGACACATATATGATCAAATAGTATGAGACCAACATTTTGCAACAAGCCAAAACAGAAAATGGGATAACATATGCTGACATTGCACCAATGTATATCACTCATTGATAAGTGATGACTAATTGGGCAATTAGAGTTGATGTCAAATAATTTTGGAAGTAATGGGTAAAAACAATTATATCGAGGAGAATTTTTATACAGTACTAAAATAAAGTAAGTTTTCCAATGTAGTAACATATGTTTTAATTTTTCAATGTACTATCATTGTTCAATATACACTAAAGATTGTTCTAATAAATATTCACCGCCACTGAACATTATTCTTGCCACCGGACATTGTTAAGTACTATTTAGGGATTAAAAAGTTTTGGAAAAAGACATGTTTTAATAGTATTTAGTGTAAATTTCACTTAGATCTGACCAAGTGGCTGCCAACAATTTTCATCTTTTAACTTATTTTCGTCGCAAAAGAGGCTGCTACAGGTATTCCTTAAATTATTGGTCGGGGTTTTTTTCCTTGTGCTTTTGAGTTACAATGTAACAGTTATCTATGAATGAGTAAACAAACAAAAAAACGCTAAGAAGACGAAAATAAGAGAGAATGTCATTTATGAATAAATTGATTACAGAGAGAGATCGGCCAAGTCAAAAGTTCGCTCAACAGCTTTGCACCAAGAATCCACCTTCTTCTTCCTCAATTCATCATCGATCACTGGATGGAAAACGGTGGCCTTTTCCATTTTCTCGCCGGAAGAAGAAAATATTTCCTCTTCCGTCCATACTCCGATGGCTAATCCGGCAGCAAAAGCAGCCCCAAGCGCTGTCGTCTCTATATCCGCTGGCCTCACCACTGCACTACCTAACAAATCCGCCTACAAGCCCTTGTTCATAAGCATGACGGATAATTTGCATAGAATTTGTATGACATGTTTGGTTATAAAAACAAAGGAACCCTTAGGGTCGACGACGGATGTGGCAAACTCTATGTGGTAGCAAAATTTACTTATGTGACAATTTGGCAAGGAGAGTAACTGAGTTGGCTAAAGGGAAGAGTACTACAATCAGAAAACACAAAGCATGCAACCATGCAAGGCATACAAAGCACACAACGAGTACAGAAAACTACCACCTAGCCCAAAGGTCCTACACAACTACTGTAATCCTAGCTCTCCTATGTAGTAAAAAAAAAGTATGAAAGGTATGTACATACCCTCCACCCCTAAAGGTTGGGGTCCGTTTGGTATACGGAATTGATGGAATTAGAATTGAATTGGAACGGAAAATTCATAGGATTCAATTCCGTAGAATTGAATTCACCAATTTCAATTCATTTTTTGCACTATCAATTCCAAATCCACATAATATTTGTGCTACCAAACACCAGAATTGGAATTGAAGTCCTCAATTCTAATTCCACAATTTGAATTCCGTGTACCAAACAGGGCCTTAGATTATATAGTTAAGAGTGTGACAAAATGAATACCTGGATCTGCATTAGAAGATTGTTAACGGTAGCGCCACCATCAACTCTCAGAATGAATTCTCCGCGATCATTCTTAACCTCACCTTTATCCCCAGCATCTTTATGCATCGACTCCAGCACATCTCTTACTTGAAAACACATGCTCTCAAGAACGGCTCGGGCAATGTGAGACTTGTTTGTGAACCTTGTGATTCCAATACAAACTCCTCGAGCGTCGTCGCGCCACCATGGAGCAAACAGCCCATTGAATGCAGGCACGAAATAAACTCCCCCACTCGAATCAACCTTAGATGCCAGTGTCTCTATCTCACTTGCACTGCTGATTATGTTGAGACTGTCCCTTAGCCACTGAACGGCTGCACCAGCAATGGCAATAGAACCCTCCAATGCATAATTCGCAGGAGCATTTGGCCCCAGCTTATAAGCCAAAGTGCTCAAAAGTCCATGGTTTGATTTGATTGTCTCCTCACCTGTATTAATAAGTATGAACGCACCAGTTCCATAAGTGCTCTTTGCTTCACCTCTTTGACAAGCTTGCCCTACCATTGCAGCATGTTGATCTCCAAGACAGCCTGATATGGGAATGTCTGTGATTGGCCATCCCTTGGCAATGTTCCCTATGATCTCTGAGTTGCTAACGATTTTCGGCAAAATCTCAGGAGGGATTCCCAATACATCCAGCGATGGCTTGTCCCATTCCAAAGTATTGAGGTTCATCAACATAGTTCTTGATGCATTGGACACATCAGTGACGTGTAAGCCATTCTCCACCCCTCCGGTCATGTTCCAAATCAACCACGTATCGACCGTTCCAAATAGCGCATCCCCTTTCTTTACTGCTTCCTTGACAGCGTCCACGTTCTCCAATAGCCATAGCAGCTTCATTGCACTGAAGTACGTGCTTATGGGCAAACCACATGTCTCAACAAAATGAGTTCTCCCACCAGCCAATTCTTTTTCCAGTTTTCTGAGCAGGTAAGTTTTACTCAATCCCAAGGTCAAATTAGAAATAAACAAAAAGACAGGAATAAAATGATACTCCGACCCAAAAGAGGCTCCTAGTTTGACTTGGCACAAAATTTTAGGATAGTGAAAATGTGTGGTTGAAAGTGATGTAGAGGAGAGAGAAAGATTGTAAGCCATTCAAAAATTTTTCATAAAAAGAAATAGGAGGTTTTTTTTGAGACGCCCCAAAAAGGAAATAAGGAGTCTTCTCTGGGAAGGAGGAAGTACTAAACATCAATGAAAATGTCACAAAGTAAGCTAAAGCAATAGTACACAATAAATGTGTACATGATTGGAACTGCAAATATGTTGGCAGGGAAGCCACTTAGAAAGAGACATAGACCAGAAAAAAGATAAATTTGATCTCACAGGTATTTACTTCTTTCCAATTCTCTCCTTCTATGCTCCCCCCCCCCTGCATTTTCCGGGTTCCAAATAAGCCCCTTACATTTAAGGGGATATACTAACCCGGGATTGGCAAACAACAATAGCAGTTTGTATTGACAGGTTTGACTAAGAACTTGTAAAAAAAATGTCATGTACAAGTTTAGTATGCTAAACGATAAGCATAGTATGCTAATTTACCGAACATCGCAAATAGCATTTTATCAAATAAAGATGCTGTTTAGAGTAATAAAAAACAAGACCTGCAAATGGAAGTAGTGCGAGCGTCCATCCAGACAATGGCATTGTAGAGAGGGAGCCCGGTGGATTTGCTCCATACCACAGTGGTCTCTCTCTGATTTGTGAGGCCCAAGGCTTTGAGACCACCATCCACATTGTGCCCGTCGGCTGTGGCCTTGTCGACCGCCTTAGCAATACATGCCTTCACACTCTCCACAATCTCCACCGGATCGTGCTCCACCCATCTGCCCCAAAACCGTTTTTGAAATCAGAGAGGATATAAATGATTCAAGCAACACAGTACAGATCTAAAGGGGGCCATGAAAGGTTTTAGTATGATCTAGAGAAATCTATGGATGATACCCGGCTTGAGGGTAGAACTGGGTGAACTCGATCTGGTGCGATGCGACGGGTCGAGCGGAACGGTCGTAGATGATGAAACGGGTGCTCGTAGTGCCTTGATCGATTGCGCCGACGAACACTTGCTGCTCGGACATTCTCGCCTCCTTTTGCTCTACCTCCGGTGAGGAAATGTTCCGGCGTCGTCTCGTCTCTGGGGGAGGAAAGAGCGGTGCCGGTGGGTATTTCCCCAGGAATAAAGGAGTGCGTTTCAGGTTGACTTTGGAAATATCGTTGGGTAGTTGGTCCAATCACTGCATATCCTTTCTTTTATTATTGATAATATATCTTTTCTTTTATTATTGGATAATAGGGAGTATGTTAAGAAAAAATATGAATTGTTCATTTATCAATTAATTAGATTATGCTCCATCATAAGTTGCAGGAACAAATTGTCCATCATCACCATCAAGTTGTCATTTGTATAGTATGTATACTATTTGTAATAGTGTTAGCACTAAGCCTCTCTACTATAAATAAGAGGCTTAGGATCCCTGCAAATCACCATTAAGAATAAGAAGAAGAGTGAAGAGTTAATAGAGAGAAGAAATCAGAAATATATTATATCTATTCTCATAATCTTTGAGTAGTTTTTCTCTCATTTTATAACACGTTATCAGCACGAATTTGCTCAAAAATCTCAGAATCCTTGTTCTTCTCAGAAGGTATATTTATTTTATTTTCTTCATAAACAAACTAAAATATTTTTCTCAAAAACTATGAGAAGTATGCTCTGTGATTGCCCAAATTTGGGATCCTTCACATCAGAAAATCATGTTTTGATAAATTAAAACAATAAATAGAATTTAATAAGGAGAAGCTAAGGTTAAAAAAAAATTAATTTCATTTCTTTAAACTATTCTTGAATCCTGCAAGCTAAGATGTAAAAAAATTATAATGATTTAGATTATAAAATAAGAATATTACTTTTAAATTTAGCACACTGTATATATATAAGAGAGAGAGGTTTATCTCACCTCTAAATCTTTTACTCTGTGTATGTTTTTTTCTCTGGGCAAGGTATCTGAGGGTGAGGAGAGAATATTTTCTTTTGCTCCACTACTATATAGAGAGGTCAGTACTTAATACTCCGTAATAAATGAATATAGTAAAATTATTTATAAAAACAAAACATAGTCACATGGTGATATTTTCATGTGTTTGTCTTCTAACATACGGAGTATATGGGAATTGAGTATATTATCAACCTTATCATGTCACATGGTGATATTCTTCATTAGTTTTTCGTATTTGTCTTCTTCTAATCATTTTGATTTTGTTTATATATTATCATGACATTGCTCACACACAAAAAAAATATTACGATTATTTAAAAAAAATAATAATAAATTTAATTTAATATGTTGTAGTTATTCCATGGAGCACATCACTAAAAGAGAATTCGACATCCTTGATTTATCCGGTCAAAGGGACCTGGAATGGAGGGTTGATGCACTTGCTCACCTTAAGGCTAATGGCCTCGAAAATACAATTGCTGAAAATAATACAACAACATCTCAGCAAAAGACAAAAGCCATAATTTTTCTTCGCCACCACCTTTATAAAAGTTTAAAATCTGAATATTTATTGGTGGAAGTTCCGAAGGAATTATGGGATAATCTCCAAGAGAGATATGGACATCAACAAAAGGTCCTACTACCAAGAGCTCAATATGAATGGATCAATTTAAGATTCCAAGATTTTAAATCCGTTTGTGACTATAATTCTGTTATTTTCAAAGTCACGTCCACATTAAAATTATGTGGACATAATATCACTGATCATGACATGTTGGAGAAAACTTTTTCCACCATGCATATGTCAAATGTGATATTACAGCAACAATACAGAGAAAGGGGTTTTAAAAAGTATTCTGAGTTAATCTCAGTATTACTTGTTTCTGAGCAGAATAATGAGCTCTTAATGAAAAATCATAACATGAGGCCCACCGGTTGTAGCCCTACAAATTTTGGTCATCCTGATCGTGGTTCAGCACCAGAATCAAATGTTATCCAAGGTGGTGCACGCGGACACTTTAAACGTGGACGCGGAAATAACCGCAACAAAGAGCCATATAGGGGATATAAACATCCAAATGAATCATCCTCCAAAGGAAAGGGAAAATTTAAACCACCACAATCTAAAACTCATGAAAAGCTAAAACCAAGTGGTGAATGCTATAAATGCGGCATAAAAGGACATTGGGCTAATGAATGTCGAACGGCAAAACACTTGGTAAAATTATACCAAGCTTCCACAAAAGGAAAAGGAAAAAGTGTGGAGGCTAATTATGCTGATGATATCAATCCAATTTTGCCTAAATTTGACGTGTCTGATTTCTACATGGATGATGCTGAAATTGGTGATGAGGTGGCCTTTGGTGGAACTACTACTATTTAAATATTTTAATTTACGCTGTTATGGTGTGTTTACTTTTAAAATAAATGTTTAAAATCTGTACTTTAATTTTCATGTGTACTTGTATTATTATGTCTGTTCTAAAAAATTATAATAAAATGTATGATATTGGTGTTACTTATCTTGAACTTATATATTTATTTATATTCAAGATATGGAGATAAGTGCTTATGGCTCCAGTGGCAAAGAACAATGTCTAATTGACAGTGCCACAACGCACACCATTTTGAGAAACAAAGAATATTTTTCTCAAATGACATTGATAGAAACTAATGTCAATACAATCTCTGGTGTTGCAAAGCTCATTGAAGGGTCTGGAATGGCTTGTTTAGTTCTTCCCCAAGGAACAAAATTAATTATCAAAGACGCATTATATTCCAGCAAATCCCGAAGGAATTTATTAAGCTTTAAAGATATGCGTCAAAATGGTTATCATATTGAAACCATGACAGAAAATCAAAAGGAATACTTGTGTCTAACGATAACCTAGGGGCTATATTATACTCACATTAGTCCCGTTGAAGTGAATGTTGTCTCTAATAAAAAATTAGATGATCAGAAAACATTCATTTTGTGGCATGACCGTTTGGGTCATCCTGGCAGTGTAATGATGCACAAAATAATTCAAAATTCACTTGGACATCCATTGAAAAATATAAGGATTCCAAGATCAATTGATTTTCCATGTGTTGCCTGCTCTCTTGGAAAATTGATTGTTAGGCCATCTCTAAATAAAATTGGAGTTGAATCTCCTGCATTTTTAGAAAGAATTCAAGGAGATATTTGTGGGCCAATGGCCCCACCATGTGGACCATTTCGTTATTTTATGGTGTTGATCGATGCATCAACACGTTGGTCACATGTAAGTCTTTTATCTACAAGAAATTTTTCATTTGCAAAACTCCTTGCTCAAATCATACGTTTGAGAGCTCAATTTCCGGATTATTCAATAAAGAAAATACGACATGATAATGCGGGAAAATTTACATCCCAATCATTTAATGACTATTGCATGTCTATTGGGATTGATGTGGAACATCCAGTTGCTCATGTGCACACTCAAAATGGTCTTGCTGAGTCTTTAATAAAGCGATTACAATTAATTTCTAGACCATTATTGATGAAATCCAGTTTACCTGCATCTGTTTGGGGACATGCTGTATTGCATGCTGCAAATTTAATTCGGCTAAGGCCTACTGCAAATCATATTTTTCCCCATTGCAATTGGTAACTGGAAAAGAACCAAATATTTCTCACATAAAAATATTTGGATGTGCCGTATATGTACCAACTGCTCCACCACATCGTACAAAAATGGGTCCTCAAAGAAGGCTGGGAATTTATGTTGGCTTTGATTCTCCCTCAATTATAAAATATCTTGAGCCAATGATTGGTGATTTATTCACAGCTCGGTTTGCTGACTGTCATTTCGATGAGACAGTATTCCCAGCCTTAGGGGGAGAAAATGAGAAAAAGGACCCATGTACGAAAGAGATTACATGGAATGCAACACGATTATCTTTTCTTGATTCAAGGACAAATGCATGCGAACAAGAAGTGCAAAAGATAATTAATTTACAAAATGTTGCAAATCAATTACTTAACGCATTCACAGATTCAAAGAAAGTGACAAAGTCACATATTCCAGCTATGAATGCTCCTGCCAGAATTGAAATTCCTTCAGAGAAAAATGAAAAAACTCTTGCAAATGAGTCTTCAATACGCAAAAAGCGTGGCAGACCACTTGGTTCAAAAGATGTAAAACCAAGAAAACTTAAAAGGCAAGAAACAATATTTGAAACAAAAGATGTTCATTCTTCAAAGAAAGATAATGAACAAACCGAGCATGTTGATATAAAAAATAATATCAACGAACAATTTGTTTCAAATGAGGATTTAACAATCTCTGAAGATGCGAATAATTCAGATGAAGATAGAAACGTTGATAATTATGAGATCTCAATAAATTACGTTTCTACGAGATTGCAATGGAACAGAAAAGATGTTCATGTAGATGATATATTCGCATATGCCATTGCCACACACATCATGGATGAAAATGATGACATTGAGCCAACTTTAGTTGATGAATGTCGACGTAGGCATGATTGGCCAAAATGGAACGAAGCAATTCAGGCAGAATTGAAATCACTTGAAAAACGAAGTGTTTTTGGGCCTATAGTTCATACGCCAAAAGGCGTGAAACCAGTTGGTTTCAAATGGGTTTTTGTGTGTAAGCGCAATGAAAAAATGAAATTGTGAGATATAAAGCTCGACTCGTTGCCCAAGGTTTTTCTCAAATCCCGGGGATAGATTATGAAGAAACTTATTCCCCAGTAGTTGATGCAACTACTTTGAGATTTTTGATAGGCATGTCTGTCTTTGAAAAACTTCAAATGCGTTTAATGGATATAGTGACAGCATATTTATATGGATCTCTCGATACTCACATATATATGAAAGTTCCTGGAGGCCTAAAATTGCCTGAGGTTTATAGTTCAAAACCTCGAGAGATGTTTTCCATAAAATTGGAAAAGTCACTATATGGACTAAAACAATCTGGCAGAATGTGGTATAATCATCTCAGTGAATATCTGCTCAGAGAAGGATACAAAAATGATCCAATTAGTCCATGTGTTTTCATCCGTAGATCTAAATCAGGCTTTGCCATTATTGCAGTATATGTTGATGATTTAAATATCATTGGAACTTCTGATGAAATAGAAAATACTGCAAAATATCTCATGAAAGAATTTGAGATGAAAGATCTTGGGAGAACAAAATTCTGTCTTGGTCTTCAAATTGACCATTTGAAAGACGGAATATTCATCCACCAGTCAAATTACACGAAGAAGGTTCTGAAGCGATTTTATATGGATAAAGCACATCCTCTCACATCCCCGATGGTTGTCCGCTCTCTCAATGTACATGATGATCCATTCCGACCTCGTGAAGATGATGAAGAAATACTCGGTCCAGAAATACCATACTTGAGTGCTATTGGAGCTTTGATGTATCTAGCAAACAACACTCGGCCAGATATACGTAAGAGTCACTTGAATAATCCCAGACACAGCTCGACCCCGACTAGGAGGCATTGGAATGGCATTAAACATATTTTGCGATATCTCAATGGTACCATCGACCTTGGTTTATTCTACCGCAAAGATGCCAAGGCCACTCTTGTTGGATATGCTGATGCTGGATATTTGTCTGATCCACAAAAGGCAAAGTCTCAAACATGATATGTGTTTACTTATGGCGATACCGCAATATCATGGAGATCGATGAAACAAACTTTGACTGCCACATCATCAAATCACGCGGAGTTGATAGCTCTCTACGAAACAGGTAGAGAATGTGTATGGTTGCGATCAATGATGCAACATATCCAGAGCGAGTGCGGTATAGAAACAATTACTAGTCATCCGACTCCTATATATGAAGACAACACTGCATGCATTGCTCAAGTGAAAGGAGGTTACATCAAAGGAGACCGAACAAAACATATATCACCAAAGTTCTTCTCAACACATGATCTCGAGAAAGACGGAAAGGTTGACATCAAGCAAATTAAGTCGAGCGAGAACCCTGCTGATCTATTTACAAAAGCATTGCCCCCGAAGAAATTTGAAGAACTCGTACACAAGATTGGCATGCGTCGTCTCTGTCAATTATGCTAAGCTGAGGGGGAGAATTTTATGAACTGTACTCTTTTTCCCTTGATCAGGTTTTTATCCCACTGGGTTTTTCCTGACAAGGTTTTTAACGAGGCAGTACATAAAATTAGAATGGGTTTCTAAACTATACCCATCTCACAAAATACTTATCATCAATTGAAAAATGAACATTCAAGGGGGAGTGTTAAGAAAAATATGAATTGTTCATTTATCAATTAATTAGGTCATGCTCCATCATAAGTTGCAGGAACAAATTGTCCATCATCACCATCAAGTTGTCATTTGTATAGTATGTATACTATTTGTAACAGTGTTAGCACTAAGCCTCTCTACTATAAATAAGAGGCTTAGGATCCCTGCAAATCACCATTAAGAATAAGAAGAAGAGTAAAGAGTTAATAGAGAGTAGAAATCAGAAATATATTATATCTATTCTCATAATCTCTGAGTAGTTTTTCTCTCATTTTATAACAGAGTATATCTTTTCTTTTATTATTGGATAATATATCTTTTCTTTTATTATTGGATACGGCCCGATTCTAGTGACACCGGAGAACGGTGCCACTAGCGGTACCACTGGGTTTTTGGGGCACCTTCGGTGCTCCGCTCGTAAAATTGACGGTTCCTACTCCCTTAACCCACCCCCTAAACTCCCCACCCTACCCACACTCCTGCACCCCCACCCCAACCCCGCCGTAACCCCCCCACAAAATGTGTGGCTATCATTACATAATAGCCACACATTTTGTGGGGGGTAACAGCGGGGTTGGGGTGGGGGTGCAGGGGTGGGGGTAGGGTGGGGGTTTAGGGGGTGGGTTAGGGGGGTAGGAACCGTCAATTTTACGAACAGAGCACCGAAGGTCCCCCAAAAACCCAGTGGCACCGGAGTGGCACCGTTTTCCGGTGTCACTAGAACCGGACCGTATTGGATAATATACGGAGTAATAACAATAAGACCCGAGACGTTACCCCCTACTGCCATACCATCTTGCGGGTGCTTAAGATGGCAGTCCTACTCGAATTTGACCATTACCCATCCTAGTCTATAATATACGAATCTCGATCGAAAAATTAAATATCTGAAACCATATTTAAAAAAATTAAACGGAATCCCGACTCTTGTCGGGTTGTGTATGGATCGGTATGTTTGACCGATCCGACTTATACCCGACTTTCAATAAATTTTTAAAAATCTTAAAGTCTTACATGTTAGAGTGTCATCTCACATCAAAAATCTAAGACTAAAAATAATTGGTATATGAGCTATTGAGTTGAACTAACTAATCGATTGGATTTAGGGAGGTGTATACAATTGAGATTTTATTAGATTTTTTAGACTCTAAAAAATTAGTGAATTTGGAAAATCAATAGATTTCATGTAGAGTTTGTCCAACTTTTCTATTGATTTAAGATAGATTTCATAGACTCCATGGATT